AAAAAAAAAAAAATGTAGGCACCAGCCCAAAAACTATAGTAGCAATGCTCGCCTCTGTCACAAGTCACAGGTCACACCTAAAGGTCCTTAGCCGGAAACTGCAGACCTTCTTCTGCAGCCTATCCATGTGCAAGGGGAAACTGAGGCCAGAGGGGGCTAGGACTTGCCCAAAGTCACACAGTGAGACATGGAGAGGGGGATGAGGTGGCAGAGCTCCGGGCCCAGGGCACTTCTGTGCTAAGTGCCCCACGAGGAAGAGGTGGCAGGATCAGGGCAGGAGGGATACCCAGCCAGTTTGGGTCCCTGGGCCTGGGTGTGGGGGAGGGTGGAAGTACCTTTGCAGCCATCTGAATGTGAACCAGGTCTGGCTGGAGCGGGGGTCCAGAAACAGAGGAGGGAGGAGCAAGCGAGAGCCCGACAGGAGAAAAGAGGCAGAGATGGGGGTGGTGAGAGGCAGCGTGGCAGAAAGAGCCAAGAGAGAGCAGGAGAGCCAGGCGGAGCTGGGGGAGGGGACAAAGGGGCAGCCACAGAGGCCTCACATCCAAAGCAACCAACGGGGACAGGAGAGGGTCCGTGGGGAGTGAGGCAGTGACACCGGGCAGGGAAGCCTGGGGACTGGGTTCAGCCCCTCCCATTCCCCTTATACAGATGAGAAGACTGAGGCCAGGGAAGTAAAGACCTCGGTTCAAGGTCACACAGCCAGGCGACAAGCAGTGGGGCTGGCCGACTTGCTGAGCTGTCTCCATCGAGGATCCTGAGAAGACAGCAACACCGACCCAAGCCCAGGGAGAGGTCCTTGACTGCAACCACGCAGTCTGAACTGGAACCCTGCCACATCCCTTCTTTCTAGTTCTGAATGCCCCAGCCATATTCTTCAGCCTTCTTTTTTTTTTTTTTTTTTTTTTTTTTTTTTTTTGCCAGTCCAGCCCACCCTGTGGGCGGGGCTGGCAAGGCATGTGGTGCTGGGGATCAAACCATGGTCCCCTGTACCTGCCTAAGCTTGCCTACACTGCTTAGGCATAGACTGCTGAACTATCTCACCAGCCCCTTCATCCCATTTTAAAGATGGAGATGTTGAGGCTGAGAGAGAACAGGACCTGCCAGAGGCCAGTGAAACCCCAGGCAGGTCACTGTGCGGTTGGTTGGGGCTGGGCCAGAGAGCGGGAGCTCTGGTTGGAGCCAGGCCAAAGGGGTTCAACAGAGGCTGTGGAATGGGACAACTGTACACACTGAGGCAGGTGCAAGCTTCCCCAGGGCCCAGAGAGAAGCCCTGGCATGCTCGAGTCTCCCTCCAACCCTCTCTGTGCACCCACTGGGGCATCTGCATTCCTTTCTGTCCTCTTTCACCCTCAAACCCATCTTGCAAGGGAAGAAGCAAGGCCCTGGCCCTTGGCTGAGGAAATTATGGCTCCGAGAGGTGGAAGAAGCAGCCACAAACCACCAATTTCTTTGTAAAGCTGGGGAAACTGAGGCACAGCGCCAGGCAACGACCTGCCCAAAGCTACAAAGCAAAGACTAAAATCACAAAGCACAGCTTTCTGAGAGCTCTCAGGCCAAAGACTTTATTGCCAATGGAGAAAATAAGGCACAGGGAAGGGAATGGTTTGCCCAAAGCTGCACAGCAATCAATGGCAGAGCGAGGGTGAGAAGAGGACCCCTGAGCGCACAGGGCAGACACGCAGCCACCCCAAGCCTCATAGTGGAGAACACCCTCAGAGAAGCCAGTGCTGATGGAGGCAGCGGGCAGTGGGGTGGGGCAGGGAACAGGCCATACCAGGACCATGCCAGTGCCTGAGGTCACAGGCTTTAAAATAAGGCAGCAGGACAAAGCCAGAGTCTGTAATCTGCCCAGCTTCTGGGATGTCCAGCCACCCAGCAAGCAGAGTATCTGTTTGACCCAGCAAGGCTGGAGAGGCAGGTGGGCACTCGGGGTTCACCACCCAGGGTCACAGGGCAGGGCAGGGCGGGCATGATAGCAGTCTTACTACATGACCACCACCTGGGCTGGACGCCAGGCTGCCCAAGCTGTATCAGCTCACTTGCTGCCTGCGTAACCTCAGCCCCGCACACCGTGCCCCAGACTAGCCCCTCATCCTTGTGTCCAGTCCTTGTGGACCACGTGTGTGGCCACTCTGCAACCTGGGACATGACAGCAGTTTGAGTAGTGACATCTCCTGTCTATAGGACAGGAATGGTAGCTTCTCACCAAAGAGGTGAAAGGGGAGCGGGCCCAGTAAAGAGGAGGTGCTAACAGGCATGAGGTGTTAATAGCACAACTTGGCAGAGAAATAAATAAAACCACTAAATCTGCGTGTCTGTGGTGCCTCCCTACCCTGCAAGTCCGCTTTTAAAACCAGAACAGCACAGTTCCAGCCCCAAGAAGGCTTTGCTGTGTGACCTTGACAAAGTAACACACCCTCTCTGGGTCTTAGTTTCCTTGCCTGTAGGGAGGAAGTAATTTTCACAGAATCCCCTGCAGGCAAAGTGGGTGAACAGCACAGCCTGTCTTCCCAAGCCAAGACCCTGGGAGGGTTGAGCCGGCCTCAGGTGCCCGAGAGCTGCCTCTGCCATGGGCCAGCCCTGCTCTCACACAAGTGGTCCTGCCTGTCCCAGATGGCTCCAATCAGGCAGGAAGAAGGGGAAAAAGGGACCACACCTCCCCTGTCTGATCCCTCACCTGCCACCCATGGCCAGGACAGAGTCCCTAGCCTGAAACCTTACACCCCAGCTACTACTCACTAGCTGGGGGACCTCATCTTTCTGAGCCTCAGGATCCTCTTTTTGGACCCTAATTCTGTGTCTAGTCCTTGTGGACCATAGGTGTGGCTGGTCTGGAGCCTGGGACACGATGGCAGGTTGAGTAGCAAAATTAACACTCAGGCTGTTGAGGCTGGTCAGAGATGCACTTTGGGACCTGCAGCCATAGTCAGTGTGACCCCAGGCAGGGGCCAGGCAGTCCTGGCCTGGGCACACGGTCAGTGAGTGAGAAGGGTGAGGCCAAGCTGGTCTGGAGAGAAGCACAACAACAGGGCGCTTGGCAGCCCTGACATCCTGAGGTGCCCCTGCCAGGCTGCCCAGGGAAGGAAAAGCCGCTGGCCTATAGTGCCTGGCAACAGCTGCTGGAAAGCTCCCCAGGCATGCTGCAGAGGGCTGGGTGGCAGGGGCATTGGGCTGTTGGACCCTACACCCCAGGGACCTCCTCATGCTCAGGGCCACTCAGCACCCAGGATGCCCGTGTCCACGCTATAGGGCAGCAAGAGCCACACAGCAGACTCCTCGCTGTGGACACCAACACCCTGGCCAAACCCAAACAACAGCCAGGCCCACCCCCCCACGCTTTGCACCACTACACAGCGCTGGCCCCACACAGGGCCCTGGAAAGGCCTTCATGTATTATGGGCTGGGGCCCCACCATGGGGCCAACACGGGACCCTAAGCAACACTGCAGGGACAGCACCATGGTCCCTGGGGTGGGTGTGGGACCCAACACCTGTGTTAGAATGGCCACCTTCCCCTGAGCCCCATACCAAATCCTTTGCCTCACCTTTGCTCTGCTGCCAGCCCCAGCTCTGCCCATCAACTAGAGGGTGGATGAACACCGTCAGAAGGGCTCAGAAGGTGCCTCCACCCCACGCACCCTATGGCCCCCCTCCACTGCATCAGGGACCCTCAGCCAGATTCTGGGCTGCAGGAGGAAAGAGGAAAGGGGCCAGGCAGAGGAGGGACGTGTCATTTTGCCAGTGACAGAGGCAGAGTCAAAGTCCCTAAGCCCTTCCTGCCCCACACCTTCATTCCAGCTATGGCCCAGGCCCAGCCTGGCTCCTGGCAGAGCTGCCTAGCACTTCCGTCATTATCCCACACACCCTCCCTGCATGGCCTTTCCCTCTTCTGGGGTGCTAGATGGATCACAGGTCAGAGAGTCGGCCATCCCACCCGCGCCTCCGCTTCGAGTTGCATGACCTTAGACAAGTCATTTCACCTCTCAGGCCTCCATTTCTTCATCTGTAAAATGCAGTAGGTAAGAGGTCCCTTTTCTCAGGACTCTCACAACACATAAATAAAATTATTCAACTTAAAGTGCTTGGCACAGGGGCTGGCTCACACTCAGGGCAAAATACAACCATTTCATTGAATTCAATCAGGCACCCTGAAAGCCAGGCAGCAGGTGACATGGGGACCCTGGGATGAGGTGGATGAGAGAATAGCTTTCAGGAGCTCCCAATCTGGGGGTCACTAGAAGACAGGTGGGACAAGAAGAGAATGGAGCCACAGTCAGGCCCTGACACAGTGGGGCAGAGGGGGTGCCTGGGAAGTCCTCTCACCCCAGAGAGCAGCCTGGGGAGGGGAGAGAACCGCTGCTCAAGTTCCAACCCTGGCCTTGTTACTTGGCAGCCATGTGACCTTGGACAAGGACCATTCACAACTCTGAGCCTCAGTTTCCTCATTTGCAACATGTGGGTAGCCCCCCCCCAACACTACTAGCCTGTAGGAATTACAGAAAGGAGCAAACAGGAGGAGAATACAGTGAAGGTGACTGGCACAACACCTGGCACCTCTGTTCCCTTTTGCCCCACAGAGAAGGCAGTCCTGCACTGGATCCTGAGGAATGAATAGGAGTTCACCAGGCAGATGGGAAGAAGGGTGCTCCAGGCAGAACAAACACCATGCACAGGGGAAGAGGTACAAACAGGCAAGGCACGCTCAGTGATGGGGGAAATGGGACGCCTTGAGGACACACGGGAGGACTCGCCTCCGTCCTCCAGAGACTCCTGGCTTGCACAGCCTGGAGGTCAGCCCCTGGCTCTGCGCCTCCCCCACCACCACCACCTGCAGACACCCTCACTGTCCTTCCCTAGAGGCCCCAAATCCCCCTCGCAGTTCCTGTGGTCACCCCAGAGGGCACAGAGCAGCTAGGGGAGGCCCTGTGTGCAGCTGACGCTCAATGTGGGCTGACAGGTCCAGGAGGACATGTGAGGTGAGCAGTGGGGAGGGAGGGGCTGGTGAAACTGGGGGTGCGGGATTATCTTGAGAAGCCTGGGGTGGTGGTAGCAGCCAGGGAGCAGAGAGCATGGCAGGAACCCGGGTGGAGGACGCACATGCAGACAGCACCCCAAGCCCCCGCAAAGCCGCCACCCGGCCCGCCGCCCACGCGGCGCGTACACACCTGACGTCCACTTTCCTCCTGAGGGCCAGCGAGAAAGAATCAGAGAAGGAGGCGCTGAGAGCGGGCAGAGGAGCTGGCCAGAGCGCAGGAGCCACACCGCCCCCTGCTGGCAGCTGCGCGCGGCGGGCGGGACCCCATTCCCCACACTGCGAAGTCCCCTGCGGGGTCCCCAGAAGGGGCACTCACGTGTTATTGACAATCTGGAGCCGCTCCCCTTTCTTGAAGGACAGATCGGTCTCTGTTCGGGACTCGTAGTCATAGAGGGCCACAAAGGTGGTCACCCCACCTGCGGGAAGCCGTGGGGTGTCAGGAGGGCGGAGGGGACGCCGCACCTGGGGCGTGGGGTCGTTCTGTCACCCGCCAGTGCCCCACGGAGAAGGACATATGTACTGGAGCGCCACTGCTGCTGTTGGTCTCGCCTGAACAACCAGGCGACTCCCCTGAGGGCAGGGATCTCTCGTCCCTGTCCCCAGAGCCCCGCACACAGTAGGTGCTCACAAGAGCCGGTGGGGCGCTGGGGAAGCGGGACTTCACTCCAAAAGGGTCTCCCGCCCGCTTCAGGGTATGTAAACCTGGCTGCAGGTACCCTCCGTCCCTCTTGCTAAGTGACACGCTGCCACGCAGCCCTCAGCACCCAAGAGCCCTTTTCCTTCACCAGGGCTTCCTCCTCCAAATGCCCTGCAGGCCGCGGCCGCAAGTGCTCGGCACACCAGGGCTCCACAGCTGTGTCCCGGGCAAAACGCACGGTGTGCCGGAGGGGCTCCTAGTCCGAGGGTTTCTGTGCCTCGGTGGGGCCGTACCCCGCGCGAGCGCGTTCTGAGCAGGTCCGCGCGCAGCCCCTCCGGCGCGCGTCTGGCCTGGCGCGCGCGTCCTGCCGCGAACGTGGCCTCGCGCGCCTGCGCTCGTGCGCGCGGCCGGGCCGCGGTACCGCGAGGCGCCAGCAGAGGGCGCAGAGGCCGAACAAAGCCCGGCCCCGGGTGTCGGCCGCGGCGGGTTCCGCGCCGCCCTTCCCTCCCGCCTTCTGCCGCGGACCCAGTGGTGCTCTGCGCGCGCCCTTCTCGGTGCACAGCTCCCCCACCCCCGGCCACGACGCAGGGACCCTTGGCGAGGGGTCACTGACCGGCCAGCGGCCCCGCGCGTTGCGGGGAGGTGACTGTGTCGGAGGAGTTGAAGCCCCCGAAGAGCTTCGGCTCGGCGGCGGCAGGGGCGAAGGCGGCGGCGGGCCCGCGGTGGCCGTCGGCCGAGGCCGGCTTGCTGGGCGTCTGAGAGGCGGGGAAGGCACCGCCGCCCGGGCCGTGGGCGCTGTCGGGCGGCTCCAGGCTGCGCCGCCGCGGGCCGGCGTCCTTGGGCTTGCTCTTGTTGCTGCCCATGGTCCTGGCTGGGGACAGAGGATCAAGGTGTGAGGCAGGGATTCAGGGCTTCCCGGTTCACTCAACAGGCAAGAAAACTAAGGTGCCGAGAGGGGCCTGGCCTTTCCAGGCCTCGGTTTCCTTATCTGTCAAATAAGCCTACAGATGGCACCTGTAAGGGGCTTCCGTGGGCCTGGCACCGGCATAGAAGGAAAACGTGGTTATGCGAGGCCCTGACCTCCTCCACCTCACCTTGAGTCAGTTTTCAGGCCCTTGGAGACAAGGACACTGAGTCATGTCTGTATTCCCAGCACTGGCACACAGGAGAGACTTGCTGCAGGTTTCAACAATGTATATGACCGATGGAAATGGTCTGACACTGGCAGAAAGATGCCGGAAGTGGGGCAGCAGTAGGGCAGGAGGTGCAACCACAAGGCGTTTGCACACACTATTCCCACTGCTGAAAATGTGCTTTCCTGATTCACCAGGGGAACTCAGGCCTCCTTCAGTTCTCAGCCCAAAAGTCACCCCCAAGCTGGGCACATCTGTAATCCCAGCACTCAGGGCAGAAGGATCACAAGTTTGAGCACGGTCAGAGCAAATTAGCAACTTCATGAGATCCTGTCTCGAAATAAAAATAAAAATTAAAAAAAGGCTGGGGTTATAGCTCAGTAAGAAGGCCCTGGTTTCAATCTCCAGCACCACACCAAAAAAAAGTCGCCTTTAAAGGAAGGCTTCCCCAGATCCTATCACTGGGTTAAGTCCCCCAGCTTTGTGGGTCTCCTTGACTGCAGATGGCCCCAATTTTTAATTCCTGGGATTATATGACTTTTGTCATGAGCTTCTGTCCTGCGTTCACTGTCATGTGCTCACAGTGTTTAGCACAAAATGTGGCACAGAACATATGCTTAATATAACAGTTGAATGAATGAATGAATGAATGAACAATGAGTGATCAAGTGACAATTCAAGAGTTCAGAGATACCTCAACCAGAAACCTGGGAGTCCCAGAGACCCGGAAAGGACGGGAATCAAGATGAGCACTTGCCCATGACACCCACAGCCCTGCCATGCCCCTGCATGCCCCCTCCACACCCACCTCAGCAGCGCCCCAACCCAAGGCTGTCACCTCACCTGGTGGAAGGCAGTGCTGTCCCAGAGGCTCTGGGAAGCAGCCTGGAGTCTTGGCACAAACACCAGGTATGGGTTTGGACTAAAGACCCTGTTCCACCTCTCCCTGCTGTGTGTTGGTAGGCAAGTCACTTTCCCTCTCTGGGCCTCGGCATCCTCATCTGCAAAGCAGGAATAAAGCAGATAGACTTCTCAGGGCTATGAACATAGAATTACAACATTCTCAGAGCTGGGTCACTTATTGCCAGGCCCTGCTGGGCGGCCCTGGAGCCTCCCAGACCACATCTCGGAGCAGGGGCCAGGCAGGGGCCCACACAGCAGACAGGGGTGGGCTCTGGAGCCAGATTCCCCAGATCCAGGGCCCTGCTCCGCTCCTAATTAGCTGTGCAACCTCAGGCCTCCCTCCTGCCCCATTTCCTCCTGGGTGACTAGTAGGGGAGTTGTGACAACTAGGTGAGGTAGTGCAGGTCCCTGACATGGCCCTAGGGTGCCAGACACACCAAACATGGTCCTGGGTGCTCTGAAATGCTGATGGCCCTGAGAACTTCCTCTGAGCACCCAGGAATGGGACAAGTCCATCCTCCGCACAGCCCACTGTGCCACCCCTGCCTGTAGACCTCTGCCACTCACCCCCAGGGTGCTCGACTGCACACTGGGGGTGTGGCCCACACTGTGTGAGGACATTGTGGCCTTTGAACTCTCTAGGGACAGTCTGGCTCAAAGAATGTGGGGCTGGGGACACCTGGGAAGATCATCAGGGCCTTCAGAGGGTCAGGCCAATCAGCCTGGGGACAGTGACTGCAAAGCCAGTTTCCATGGTAACCCATCCTAACCAGATCAGGGTGCCCATCAGAAAGCCTGGGTCCCCAGAAACCTGCCAGCCAGGTTACCCATAACTAAAGGCTAGAGGAGGTCACACCCTCACCCACTCCCCATCACAGCTCCCTGGCAGGGAGTATGGAAACTATGATCATTCAGAGTGGACTTGGCTGGGGCGTGGCCCGGTGCTCGCCTGGCAGGCACAAAGCTCTCTGTTCCGACCCCAGAGTCCCCCTCACACACACACACACAGGAGTGGATTCTACAGACTAAAGGAAGATACAAAGAAGAACAAGCTGCCTGTGACCTACCCTTGAAGTCAGCCACCAAATTCTAAGGGTTTGAGTGCAGGATATAAACAGAACTGATCCATCTAGCACCCTGAATAGAGCTCTCCACGAGTAGGACTAGGTCAGATCTAGCTCCAGGCCTCCAGCAGCCAAGCTGAACCTGGAACCCTGGGCAGGGCTCTGGGAACATTTGCAGGACGGCACAGATGTATAACTTGCATCCTGCCCTGCCCCTGCAATGCCACACCGTGGAGATCATGCATCGTTCTGTGGTACACAAACATTTCCTAAACCTAGAACTACTGTTCCTTGCTCTGAGCACTTTGCAGATATTAATGCACCAAATCCTCATGATAATCTAGGAGGTACATATAATAGTATCCTTATTTTATTGATGAGGAAACTGAAGACTTGCAAGAGACCGTCCTCAGGGAGCTCAGACCTCTGCTCTTTCCAGGAGGAGGTGGGAGGGGTCTGTGGTCTCCCAGTTGGCCCAAATGCAGTCACCATGACTTGCCCATTTCAGGAAAGCTACACCGCCATCTCTTCCACCATCTGTACACTCCCAAGCAGAGGCAGATGGTGATGGGGGGCACGGGTGCCTGAGGTTCCTGGAGGAAGGCAGCCCCTCTCTTCCCAGAGCTGCTGCTGAGCACAGGCTTAGACTCCTCCCTGGACAGAGGCTGCATGGCCGCAAGACACAGGGACCCGGATTTGGTCCTGTACCTCTCCTCTGCACCCCCAGGCTTCCGGGACCACAGATCCTGACCTGACTTAGCATCTCTCCGGGCACAGACTCAGCCACTGCACAGGGCTCACCCTGCTTGGGTGGTAACTCGCCAAGGGTCTGCAGAGCACCTTCTGTGAGCTGGGCCTTACATTGGGCTCTGCCCACAGGGAACACTGAGGGCACTCCAAAACCCCTCTACCCAACCCTATCCTCCCAGCTGTATGCTTCAGGCCAGGGCTTGGTGTCTTCCTTGGTGCCTTGCCCTCCTGCAGACAACCAGGAACAACCCTTGTTAACACTCTTCATGGAGAACAAGTAATAACCTAAGTGTCCAATAGAGGGGGAATGGACAAGTATATGGTGGCTGGGTTACCCAAGGGATACCTGTGCAGCTATTAGGAAGCAGAGCTTTACACTGTGGCACACACCCGTAATCCCCGCTACTGGGAGGCTGAGGCAGAAGGATCATACATTTGAGGCTAGTCTGGGCAACTTGGCAAGTCTCGGACTCAAAATAAAATTTTTTAAAAAGGGGACTGAGGTTATGGCTTACTGACAGAGCTCTTGCCTAGCATGCGCAAGGCCCTCAGTTTCATCCTTAGTACAAAAAGAGGAGGAAGAGAAGGAAATGAAGAACCAGAGCTCCAAGTAGCATGGGAAGATGCTCACGACCCATGAAACACACATGAAAGATAGCAGTGAAGCACCTTCTCTGGGCATCACAGACCCTCAGTTTCCTTATCTGGAAAATGGGGACAGAATGCTACCTACATCGCAGGGTTGGGAGATGATTAAATGAGATAACACATACAGTGGGCCTAGTGTGCCAGGCGCACAGCAAATGTGTGCTACTTTTACTCCTGCAAAGAAAGCTGGTGTGCGTGTGTGTGTGTGTGTGTGTGTGGACATGCACGTGTGCGCGCGCGCGTGCGCGCGCACACACACACACACACACACACACACATGCAGTGCAAGACTAGAGAAAGTTCTGGAAGGATTCCAAACCCTTCACAATGTTTTATCCAAGAGGCGTAGGATGGGGAGAGGAATCCCATTTTTTTACTTTATAGCCTGTATCAACTGACATTTGGAAATTACTTTGTCATGATTTTTTTTTAATGAGACTTTTAAAAAGCAGTGGAAGGCTTCCCATCAACCCCAGAGAGGAGGCCTAACCTGCTCTCCTGGCAGCACCTGGCCCTGCAGCCCGCGCGGCTGCCCTCACCTCCCCATGCAAGCGGGTCCACCTGTCCTTCACACACTGAAGTCCCCTCCCCCTCCTGAGTCCGGGAGGCAGCAGCCGTGCTGTGCACTGGAGGCTCCGGTACGCCTGGGACCAAGTCTGCAGGTGCAGAACTTATAGCTACGGCTTCCTGGGCAAGCAGCTCGGCCTCTCCGCTTTCTCCTCTCTAACCAGGGATAGCACGAACTATTATCAAGTGCAGGGGAGTCCACGCACCAGGCCAAGAACAAGTACTCAATCACCAGCACACAATGTGCTTTACTGCTGTCCCTGTCCCTGCAGAGGACAGGAGGAGCAAGGCAAGGGGATGCAAAAGGAGGTGGCGGGGCCTTGAATGCCAAGCACAAGCTGAGCTGGCCCAGAAACATAAGAAAGTAGACTACTGCTCCCCTCACCGTATAGGTGGGACCCAGCTTCAGAACAGCCAGAAACTCCCCCGCCATGCAGCAGGTGAGTGCTCCAGAGCTGGGTGCCCAACGTTCAGGAGGGTGGCCTCAGGCTGCACCTCAGCAGGCCACACTGGTGGCCCCCTGCCCCGAGCAATATACCGGTGACAGCCACTTCAGACCTTCCCCAGAAGTGGAAGGACCAAGGAGGAGCCGGAATGACTGGCGCAGACATGAGCACCAGCCCAGTCTTCTCCCCAGTTGGGCTTTTTGTGGGGAGAACATGGAGTGATATTTGAAAAGTGCCTGCCTGTAGGGAATACTCAGTAAATGCCAGGGGTTAGTACATTTCTAGGGAGAAATGTCCCCTCTTCTAATCACTCTCTCACCTAGCCGAAGGCCTTCCAAAGCCCTCCTGCAGGCCAAGCCTGTGTGTGGCCCTGCCGGACCCCTCTGGCTGAAGTGATTAAGACCCTTCCCAGAGAAGCAGCCCAGAAAAGCCCGGCCGGTTGCTAGGAGCTGAAGGTGTGTCCCTTTGAAATCCAAACATTGAAGTCCTAATTCCTAGTGGCACTTGAGGCCAAGGCTTTGGGAGGTAATGAGATCTAAGGGTGGTGTCCTCAGGGTGGGATTAGAGCCCTCATGAGAAGAGGCAGCCCCCGGAGCTCACCGGCTCTCTGCCCCAGGAGGACACAGCTAGAAGACGCCCCCCTCATCAGACTCATCTGCCAGTGCCCTGACCCCGGATGTTAGAGTGCCCTGACTCCATAACTTAGAGAGGTAAGCAGGGGTTTTGTTGTTGCTGTTTGCAAAGCTTTTAATTAATCTGTTTCTAAGTGATTCATAAAAATTGTATGTATTTATGAGATACCGTGTGATGTTTCCACACATGGTGGTTGTTTTGTTTTCTTGTTGCAGTGCTGGGGATTAAATTCAGGCTAGGCCAACACTCTACCACTGCACCACACCCCCAGTCCTAGGTAATGTTTAAATCAGATTATCTAACTCCTCAAACATCTATTACTCCTTGATGGTGAAAACATCCAAGATATTCCCTTCAGGCCTTTTGTTTTTATTTTTTTGCAGTGCTGGGATCAAAGCCAGGACCTCATGCATACTAGGCAAGTGCTCTACCACTGAACTACACCCCAGCGCTCCAAACATTTTGAAATAGAAAGGACGTCACTGTGCTGTACAGTCCCCTCACTACTCAGTGGAGCACTAGAATTTCTTAGTTTTATCTAGCTATAATTTAGTATGTGCTCATCGACCTACATGTCTGGTGTTTAAACTACCCAACAGGTTATATGCAGCAGCCAGAAGGGACTCAGATACACATGGACTAGCTAATTTCACTCTCAGATATTTGCCAATCCAATTAGTTTAGGAACGGAGGAAAAAGCAAACAGAATTAGAAAAGGGAACATAAGAGTATCAACAGTTACAGACATTGTAGATTTGGATCGGGGAAATCTGAGGGAATCTACTGGAAAACTATTAAACAAAAAGCAAGCTAAGTGGCAGGTAATTAAAATGATATCCAAAACTCAATAATACCAATTGCAATCAGAAAATGAAATGAAATAAAGAAGAAAATGAAATGAAAGTATCAAATGTTCCTAAATCAATCTAAAAGTTGAACTTGATCCCAATAAAAACCTCAACAAAAGGTTGTTTTTTTTTTGTTTTTTTT